ACATCAGAATGGACAGGGGACCAGGGATGCAATACATCCAAGGGAGGGGAAGAAAGCTGCTTGCTGTGCTGTTATTCTTTGAAAGAGAACTACTGGAAAATGATTTGTAGATGGTATTTAACTCCTAGCAGATCTGCTAAACTGTATTTGTCCGAATCAGACAAGATGCTAGAGATGAGGTTGAGGGTACGTTTTATCACGTGTTTTGGACATGTAAAAGGGTAAAAGAAATGATATATAATGAACTGAAAGAAATTCATTTTGGACCTTTCCAAAAAAAAACCAAAAAAAGTCCTCTTTGTTGGGGATAATTCAGAGGGAAATTCCCAGGTGTCAAAAAAAGGCTATTTATGTACGCTACTACTGCAGCCCACGTTTTGTTAGCCCAAAAATGGAAACTTAGTGAGGTCCAAACAATAGAAGAATGGCTACTTAAACTGATGGAATACATGCAGCTTGCAGATTTAACATATAGAATAAGAGAACAAGAAGACTGTATGTTTAAAGACGACTGGAAAATGTTTACTGAATATATGGGTGAAAATTGTGTTCATTAAAAAATGCTGGTAGCATTAAGATAAATTCAACAGTGTAAATAAGTTTTGATGGATGTAACAATGGATTACTGAATGGTTTAGCTCATGTAAAATATGCAGGGATATGTGATGTGCGAAATGAACCATGGAAAGAGAAAATTCATTGATATAAGGTTGTTTAAATGAATATTTTGAAATGTAAATTAGAAAATTTAATAAAAATTAGAGAGAGAGAGAGAGAGAGAGAGAGAGAGAGAACGAAAATTCCTTTTTTAAAAAAATCTTGTTCCAGTGTTAACAGCTAGCTTTTTTGATAGCTTCCCCTGCTGCAAGTGTCATGGCAACCCACGCTTGGCAAAGGATAGGCAGAGAAAAGGTTTGCCAAACAAGCCTTTTCTAGCATTCAAGACAGGTGCAGATCACTTGAATACTCCCTACTGCCAACATGTCATGGAATGCCATATAAGTGGGCACAGGAGGGAGACTTCTGCTGGTGCTGAGATCCTGGTGCTCAGTTCTATGCATTGCTGGGCCCCTAGCGGCTTCTTGTACAAAAGATCATTGTTAGGGCCGCACCAAAGTCTTGAAAAATCTTCACTAGCACTCTGAGAATAACGCACCAGGGCTCAGATTTAAAAATAGGCAGGTGTACAACAGGGAACAATGGATGACAATAGATTCTCCGTCAAAACTGAATAGTCCAAGGGTGGCAATTCCAGACAAAACTGCTAGTGTAGAAGCGACCCTTTGAGCCCACAATTTATAAAACATTATGTACAATTCCGGATAGAGGTGCAGTGTAGGCTATCACCGCACAACCAGGACACTGATTTTTTCATAACTAGCACAAACTCCCTGCAGAGTTGGAGACACATTGCTGGTATCCTCCATGGGGAGGAATCTGTAGAGAAATTCTGTGCTACAGGAGAGCACATCTCTTGGTTGCTTTCTAAAACAGTAAGGAACATCTGTGCCCCTGCGACAAATTTCCCCAGCACCTATTACATGCTTTTTGATTCATGTTTTTGAATTAAGTATCTGTAAAAGCACTTAAAAGAACAAATGATTTCATTCCTGGCTGCTTTCTTCTGCAGAGGGAGGGATGAAAACTTCTCTGATATACACTTGCCTTTCCTGGCTTTCCCTGAAGCATGTTAGCTACCAACACCTGCTCAGGAGGATATTGCTATAGCTCCAGCTCCAGTTCTGCAATAGACACCCATATCCCAAAGACAGACAGCTGTATGAGCAACAAACGAGGACAGCTCTTTCCAGGCAAAAGAAAAACAACTTCTACTATGATTACCTTGTAACAGCCCTATGCAGTATTGTGTATGTACACAGAATGGCAGAGGGTGTTGTGGTACCTTTTGGTATTCATTTTAGCATAAATTACAAAGGATGAAAGTCCACCTGACCAAATGAATACAAAATATAATCTATTTATGGTCCACGAAGCACAGGATAAAAAGTTACAGAATGTAAAATGCAAAAGACTCTTAAGAGAGAGGGGAGGGGGAATCAGAAAGCAATCATAGATGGTCTATGGGGAATGGCAAAGTTTAGAAATTTTGCAACTTGTAATTAAAAAATGACAGCCCTCTCAAGAAAACAATCAACAGAGACTCTGAAGATTCATCACTGGAAGGACTGTGTAACCAGAGTTTCTCTAGCCCCATTATAAATATTACATTAAAAAAAAAAAGGACATGTGACACTGACTTCAGCACCAAGGGCAGTATCTCTTATTTTGGATGAAATAACATTGGACAAAAGAGGGGAGGATGACTTGATTTCAGTCTTAAAATGTATACAAAGCAAAAAAACTGGATCATCTTCACTGAGGCTGGGGTTCATGGCTTTTATTTTTTATAATTTGATTTATTAAAAATATTGTTCCTATCATGCATCTTCTCTTCCTTGATTGGGTCAGATCTGCAGCCCTCACAGTAGTATTTATTAAACCATATTTTGTTTAACCTTGTCTCCTCTTCATTTCATGCAATACATTTTCTGTTAACCTAACCAATTGCATGTCAGATAACACTGCACAACAGCGTGACTGTTCCCTACTCTTGAAGACACTTGAAGAACATGTAACAATTCTTGAATAATAAGTAACAACAGATGCTACAGCATAGAACCACGAAAATCTCAAGAATGAGACAGGTGTAAGTAAGGTTTGTTTCATAAGGATTCAGTGTTGCTTGGCTAATTCTGCTTTTTGGAAGTTGAACAAAAGAGAAAATAACATGGTTGTGTCTATCAAGAGCTTCATGTTGCATTACAATAGCCCAGTGAAACATCACAAGCTGTAGAATCAAAATAAATAAAAATACATCATTCAGGGATGAGTCAAATACTGTATTTTGAAAAATATATTTTTTTAAAAAATAAAAATCATAATATTAAAATGTTCCTTATAAAAGCTGCAAGTCAGACTGGGTTTCTTCCAAACTATCGTAAACCTAGAGAGTAAATGCTTCCTTATAAAACTGGATCATTTCCTGCAGGATCAAAAGAGCCATTGTAATTCAAGCTTAACCTCCCCCTTTTGGATCTTCCCAGAAATGATGAGAAAATGAAAGACCCGGGGAATCAAGGAAATTACAGACTGGGCAGCTAGCATCCACACCAGGTAAATTGGTGAATAGCATTATTAAAGATACGAATATACAAGTATACTGAAGAAAAAGTCCTACTGAAGAATTAGCATGGCTTCTGCAAAGGTAAGTCCTGTCTCATTAACCTTCTAGAATTCTTCAGGAGTTTCAACAGGCAGTTAGATAGGAATGATTTGATAGACATGGTGTAGTTTTGGCAGTCGAAAGCATTTTACAAAGTCCCTCACCAAAGAGTACTGAGCAGACTTAGCACTCATGGAATAACAAGTAGCAGAGAAAAGGAACAAATGGGTAGTATAATAACAGATGTTGTTGTTGCTATTACTCTATTTATTACTATCCCGGCTCTCCCCCTGACCATCAGTTGCACATTAGATAAGACATGGACAATGCGCCTCTCAGAGCAGCATGGGAACAACCACAAAGGTAAAGCAACACATAAAGCAAAGCATAGAAGGAAGTTCCCATCAACAAGGCAATGACTTTCTATAGAATGTCAATGCACAAACTTGTGGTTGCATCCAGCCAAGTCGGCCTGTTAGCGTAAAGACCTCTGCCTGCTCATGCTCCCTGTGTGGCCCCACTAATTGGTTCTGGGGTCTCCAAAGCCCCCTGGAGCTGATTTGTGGGGCGTGGGGCATGCAGGGAAAGGAGAGGGAGAGGAAGTTCATGATGACTTTGTCAGGTGCAACCGAGAGCTAGATCAAGCTCACACACCAAGCTACTTTGTCAACTTCTTCTAAACGATTCGGAACAAGGCCAGACCTTAGAGAACCAAACATGGTAAAAGGTGCTGTTGAGTGGCTTCGAAAGGCAAGGATTTTCTTGTCATTAGCACATTTTATCCGAAGCCATGAGAATATACAAATAATTGACTAGGACCCCTCACTCCCCTCATAGCTTTTTTTTGCCTCTCATTGTGAGGTAACTTGTTTTGCCTCGGCCTGCTTCCCAACTACACCACACTAAACCCCCCTCCCCATTTAGCTAGATTGAAAAATTAATAGAAAAGCACTCACACAGAAAATTGCGCGGCAACAGTATTAAGTCCAACTAATTGATTTGTTAATCCATGCCTCCAGGAACAAAATGGATTTCCCATTTGTCTCCCCAGTTGCGTCCTGCATAGGCAAAAGGCTTTCATTTACAACAAGCACAGGGTGAAAATAAGGTGTGTTGCTCAGGTACTAAGCTTTGGTTAACCTACACAACAGGCAATGCTTAGAATTTCAAAGCTTGCTCTGTGGATGACTAATTTGTTTCATAAGCAGTTTTGCAATTTAGTGTGTGAAAATTTGTTTTAAAACATAGCTTGACTTCTAGCAAACATGAGGGCATGGACTTTACAGCACATGGTATCCCCCCCCCCCCTATATTTTTGGCAGTTCTTATTTTATGTAAGCAGCCTTGTGTCTCATCAGGGGAAGTGGTATGAAAAAATGATTAATGATAATTATGATGAATATAATATGATGGTATAGCTAAAATAAACTAACCCTCAATTTAAAATGTTACACTTTGGAAGCAAATGGGAAATGTTGGTGAGCTAAAAGCAGGATCCAGACATGTGAAGATGCCATTTGTGAAAACCAGCACCTTCTCGTAGGGGCTAAATGAATTATGGCACAAATTATGCCAGGCATTTGGGGAGTCCTCGGATTGTGATGCTAATTCTGGCAAGCTCCCTGCTTGGGAAAAGCTCTTATGCATTCCCACAGAACATGCATGCCAGTGCTGCAAGTCAGACCTGGGCTCTTAGAATCATGGAATCATATAAATGTAGAGTTGGAAGGAACCCTGAGGGACATCTAGTCCAACCCTCTGCAGTGCAGGAAATGTTTGCCCAACATGGGGCTCAAACCCACGACCCTGAGATTAAGATTCTTATGCTCTACCAACTGAGCTAGCAGCCAGGGTAATATACACCTCATAGAATCAGTGCTTTTTCTGGTGGTACTCAAGGGCACATGGTACTGCCGCCGCCACCACCCCATGTTAAAAATGTGGCACTTACTGTAACAACTTCATGGTGAGTTCTGGCACCTTTTTTTCTCTTAAAAAAGCACTGCATAGAACCATAGAATTGTCTCTAGTTATTGTCATCATCATTAGAGGTGCTTGTCTCTTTCCACAAAAAGTATTGAAGCAACTCATAAAAGTAAAGTGAATAGTAATAATAATAATAATATTTGTAACATTTTGTCAAAGCAAAAACGTACAACACTGGGATGAACAGCCAAGAATATCCAAAATGGCCACAAAAACCTCAGTTGTTGCCCAACCACCTGGGAGAATAAATCTCTTTTCAGCTGGTGACAAAAAGATGTCAAACACGGTGCCAGTGCTCAGCCCTGTTCTACTCCAAACTTCTGTTTTTGGGCTTCTTTGCAGTAGGTCACTGCAAGAACCGAGAGTGGCCTAGATGGGCCTTTGTCCTGATCCAGCAGGACTCTTCTGACGTTCTTTTGTTATGCTTCCTTAGGAGAGCATCCCACAAAATGTGGGGCAGCCCCTGAACAGACCCATTCTATCACTGCTGCCCTGTGGAGGAGGGTATGCAGAGAAGGGAGTCAAGAGATGATCTTAGGATCTGGATAGGCTCCTGTGGAGACAGGGAATCCAAGAGGTATTTGTATGCTGAGCCATATGAGGTTTCATAGATTAAAACCAGCATGTTGATTTGGGCTTGGAAACGAATTCTCATTCAGTGCAGCTGAGACAAAAGGGAAGTTATATGTTTGTTTGTTTCCCCCCCCCCCCCCCGTGCTCATCAGTATCTGGCTGCTGAATTCTGCACTAGCTGCAGCTTCCAAACTGTCCTCAATCACATGAAACGCACTGCAGCGATCTAATCCAAAAATAAAAGTTTAGACCAATGAAACCAGGCAATGCCTGTCCAGATAGGGTCATAGTTGAACCAACAGCTGAAGCTGATCGGGAGGGAACAGCTGCAGTCACCTGCGGTTCCTGCGCAATGTTTGCCATCTTGCCAAAGGTTGCAGGCAGCTTTACCTGCAGCAATTGCATGTTGATTGCCCTCTTAGAAGACAAAGTCCAGCAACTGGAGGAGCGTGTAGCTACGCTCCAAAGAATTAGAGAGCTGGAGCTCTTCTTGGAAGCAACAGAGCACACCGTCTCCACCAAGGAGGAGACAGGGGACTCCCTGAGAAGGAGGCTAGTTCACCAACACAGGAGCCAGATATATGGAGAAACGTGACTCAAAGAAGTAGGAGGCCCAGGGTTCGCTCTGATTGTTTAGAAATACACAATCGCTTTGAGGTCCTCTCCCCTAGCATGAAAGACGAAGCGCAGACTCCATTTGAGGATCTCTCCCTCATTACAGTCGATCAGGTATATAAAGACGAGCAGCAAAGTCAGTCCTCAGGGAATGTGCAGGTGACCTTGGAACGGACAGCTCACGGAAGAACCCCGACCAAACCTAAGAGGAGGCGTGTAGTGGTGATAGGGGATTCCCTACTGAGGGGAACAGAAGCAGTGATCTGTGGGCCTGACAAGATGTCTCGGGAAGTGTGCTGTCTCCGGGGGCTAAGATCCAAGATGTAACTGAACGACTGCAAGGAATCATAAAACCCACTGACAAATACCCCTTCCTCTTGGTTCATGTGGGAACCAATGACACTGCAAGCAAAAGCCTCCAGAAGATCAAAAGAGACTACGAGGCTCTGGGCAGGAAATTGAAGCAATTAAATGCACAAATTGTCATCTCATCTGTCCTCCCAGTTGAACGACGTGGCCTAGGGAGAGAGGGAAAAATAGTGGAAGTGAACAGCTGGCTTCGCAAATGGTGTAAACAGGAACGGTTTGGATTCTTAGATCACGGACTGCAGTTTCTTGAAGATGGACTTCTGGCAAGCGATGGGCTGCACCTCACAACGGTTGGGAGGAATGTTTTTGCCAAAAATCTCAGAAACCTCATCAGGAGGGCTTTAAACTGACTAATGTGGGGGAGGGAGACAGTGCTCCTGAAGGTAGAAGTCTATCAATTGATGAAGATGATCATCCAAATGTCATAGACCAAATGGAGCAAACAGCACGCAGACCTGGTGGTGGGAGGAAAAAATCCTTAAATAAGAGTCACGGGGGAATGATTAATGGACTTCAATGTCTGTACACTAATGCGCAAAGCATGGGAAATAAACAAGATGAGCTTGAGCTCTTGGTACAGCAAACTAAATATGACATAATAGGCATCACTGAAACCTGGTGGGATAAGTCCCACGATTGGAATGTAATAATGGAGGGATACAATCTATTTCAGAGAAACAGACCAGACAAGAAAGGAGGAGGAGTGGCGTTATATGTCAGGGATGTGTATACCTGTGAAGAGATCCAAGATTTAGAACCTCAAAGCCAAAGTGAGAGCATCTGGGTCAAAATTAAGGAGAGAAGAATAACAGTGACCTCATTGTGGGAGTTTACTATAGATCCCCAAGCCAAACGGAGGACATAGATGATGCCTTCCTGGAACAGATGGCCAAGCATGCAAAAGGAAGGGAGATAGTAGTAATGGGGGACTTCAATTACCCGGATATTTGTTGGATGTCAAACTCAGCCAAGAGCATAAGGTCAAACAGATTCCTCACTGGCCTTGCAGACAACTTCATTGTCCAGAAAGTGGGAGAAGCAACAAGAGGAACAGCCATTTTAGATCTGGTCCTAACCAATGTTGATGACCTGGTTAGTGGGGTAGAAGTGGAAGGATCATTAGGCGCGAGTGATCATGCTCTTCTGAAGTTTACTATACAGCGGAAAGGAGCAGCCAAGCATACTAGGACTCAATTTCTTGACTTTAAGAAAGCCGACTTCATAAAACTTAAGGAAATGCTGGGTGAGATCCCATGGACAGTAATACTAAAAGGAAAGGGAGTTCATGATGGCTGGGAGTTTGTTAAGAGGGAGATAGTAAAAGCACAACTTCAGGCAATACCAATGAGACGGAAACATGGAAGGTGCCTAAAGAAGCCAGGGTGGCTATCTAAAGAACTTTTAACTGAGTTAAGATTAAAAAAGGATGTGTACAAAAAATTGAAAAGGGAGGAAAGCACCAAAGAGGAATTCAAACAAATAGCCAGCACGTGTAGACACAAAGTCAGAATGAACTCAGGCTTGCTAGAGAGGTTAAAAGCAACAAAAAAGGCTTTTATGGGTATGTTAGTAGCAAAAGGAAGAACAAAGAAACAGTGGGGTCACTCAGAGGAGAAGATGGTGAAATGCAAACAGGGGACACAGAAAGGGCTGAACTCCTCAATGCCTTCTTTGCCTCAGTCTTCTCCGATAAAGAAAACAATGCCCGACCTGAAGAATTTGGAGCAAATGATTCAGCAGAGGAAACACAGCCCAGAATAACTAAGGAGATAGTGCAAGAATACTTGGCTAGTTTAGATGTATTCAAGTCTCCAGGGCCAGATGAACTGCATCCAAGAGTATTAAAAGAACTGGCAGATGTGATCTCAGAACCACTGGCAGTCATCTTTGAGAATTCCTGGAGAACAGGCGAAGTCCCGGCAGACTGGAGGAGGGCAAATGTTGTCCCTATTTTCAAAAAGGGGAAAAGAGAGGACCCAAATAATTACCGCCCAGTCAGTCTGACATCAATACCAGGGAAGATTCTGGAGCAGTTCATTAAGCAAACAGTCTGTAAGCACCTAGAAAGGAATGCTGTGATCACCAATAGTCAGCATGGATTTCTGAAAAATAAGTCATGTCAGACTAATCTGATCTCGTTTTTTGACAGAATTACAAGCCTGGTAGATGAAGGGAACGCAGTGGATGTAGCCTACCTTGATTTCAACAAGGCATTTGACAAGGTGCCCCATGATATTCTTGTAAAGAAGCTGGTAAAATGCGGTCTTGACTATGCTACCACTCAGTGGATTTGTAACTGGCTGACTGACCGAACCCAAAGGGTGCTCATCAATGGTTCCTCTTCATCCTGGAGAAGAGTGACTAGTGGGGTGCCACAGGGTTCTGTCTTGGGCCCGGTCTTATTCAACATCTTTATCAACGACTTGGATGATGGACTCAAGGGCATCCTGATCAAATTTGCAGATGACACCAAACTGGGAGGGGTGGCTAACACCCCAGAGGACAGGATCACACTTCAAAACGACCTTGACAGATTAGAGAACTGGGCCAAAACAAACAAGATGAATTTTAACAGGAGAAATGTAAAGTATTGCACTTGGGCAAAAAAATGAGAGGCACAAATACAAGATGGGGGACACCTGGCTTGAGAGCAGTACATGTGAAAAGGATCTAGGAGTCTTGGTTGACCACAAACTTGACATGAGCCAACAGTGTGACGCGGCAGCTAAAAAGCCAATGCAATTCTGGGCTGCATCAATAGGAGTATAGCATCTAGATCAAGGGACGTAATAGTGCCACTGTATTCTGCTCTGGTCAGACCTCACCTGGAGTACTGTGTCCAGTTCTGGGCCCCACAGTTCAAGAAGGACACTGACAAACTGGAACGTGTCCAGAGGAGGGCAACCAAAATGGTCAAAGGCCTGGAAATGATGCCTTATGAGGAATGGCTAAGGGAGCTGGGCATGTTTAGCCTGGAGAAGAGGAGGTTAAGGGGTGATATGACAGCCATGTTCAAATATATAAAAGGATGTCACATAGAAGAGGGAGAAAGGTTGTTTTCTGCTGCTCCAGAGAAGCGGACACAGAGCAATGGATCCAAACTACAAGAAAGAAGATTCCACCTAAACATTAGGAAGAACTTCCAGACAGTAAGAGCTGTTCGACAGTGGAATTTGCTGCCAAGGAGTGTGGTGGAGTCTCCTTCTTTGGAGGTCTTTAAGCAGAGGCTTGACAACCATATGTCAGGAGTGCTCTGATGGTGTTTCCTGCTTGGCAGGGGGTTGGACTCGATGGCCCTTGTGGTCTCTTCC